AATTAAAATATAAAAATACTTTTTTTATATTTATCACATATTCTGTAATGTCAAATCAATATTAATCTATTTCATAATCATCATTGGCATGACAGCTCTTTGTGAGCCAGATCCTTCTTATTAATCTATTTGCTATGTAATATTGTGCAATTATATTACAAATATAATATGTCATTAACATCACTACAATCATATTTTAGGATTATATATCTACTATGTCTGAAGAGCAATTTCAGAAACACAAGAAAGCTGTGATCACATTACATTTGGTGAAACCAAGAATGTTGAGTGGACGATGTAATTTATATTGGAATGAAATTATAACCCAACAATATAACTTTGATCGAGTAAATATCGAAGTCTCTTACTTGGAGACGATAACGCAACAGCAGTTATTTAATTTTTATAAGGTAATCATTTATTGTATTTTTATTTCATTTCACATGTAAAACATGTTGAGACTCAAACCGGAAAGAAAACATTTTATCATAACGAAATAAATGAAAAACATAGAGTATAATTTTTATATATAAAGTATAATATAAGTATAATATTTTTAAGAGGAACTTTTCTATAAAGGAAAAGTAATATATTTATAATATTTTAGGAAAATGTACATAGCAAAACTCAACCTAAATTGTCAGTCCATGTGATATCTACGATAACATCAATAAAAACAATCCGATCGATAATACCAAAAAAGTTGCCGATTTATCATTCGATGAAGAAGTTAAGAAAATCGACGATATTTTGTCATTTAAAAATAGTCAAACTTTATATCCTCTATTAAAACCATTTAACGAATATCCTAGAAAGGGTATACGCCATTCTAAATTATAAAAGGAATGATGAGATATCAATTTATATGAATAAATTTGTCATCTACGATCTTCTTGTTTCAAACATATATTTAGATTTAGATTATGGTTTATTCTTTACGCGGCATTGACAGGCGTTCTTTTTCATTATTTACCTTTTAGTTATTATGATGAATATCACGTGTCTCAGTAGTCGAATGCTTAAGACTCTCATACAGAAAGTGAGTGATCCAAGTTCTATTCCTAATTGGGATGATATTTTTCGTAATAAAAATTTCGTTGAATGAAGATTGTTGATTTTCAAAATTAATTATCGATTTATGAAGAAAATGAATCCATGTATCGTTTTGAGTGAGCTACACGCAAGTAATTATAACAATACGTAGTTTATGATATGAAACACTCTGCCTTAAATTTATATATATTATTTCAAAAAACAAATTATTCACTAAGATATTGTCTGTCGATTAATACCATCTATAATCTTTTTATTTAAGTAAATGAATTTTTAAATGCATAATATTAATTTGTATTGCTTGAAAAAAGTTGATTAATTATTTTATAAAATTTAATGAATTACTTATTAGTGAAATTGAAATTAGGAAAATCTGACATGCATTTAAAATTCACAATAGACGCTGAGACGGTTTATTATTGAAAACCAGTCTGCGAATATTTATTTTTTATATGTTATCGAAATTTTATAAATTTTAATTGCATAATATGAATTTTCTTGCTGTGTAAATATTGTTCTATATACGTTTTATTGTAGACAATTTTAAAATTATTGTTCAGTTTTTTAAATCAAATATATAAATGAAAAATAATTACAGTTTTATAATAAAATTCTAACATTTTAACTATATAATGATTGTACAATATTTTTTATTGAAAATAAGTGTTTTACAAAATTTATTAGATTTATTTAGAAACAACGATTTAAATAATTTTTGCAAAGTAAGCATAATTAATGTAAAAAAAATTTTATGTTGTAAGATAATATAATATAAGATGGTATTTTTGTATGGTATGATAGTATTTTTATATGTATTGAGGGATTTTTTTTGTATTTGTGCTTTTTAGGTCTCTTAATATTTGTTCTGTTTGTTTTTTTTTTACTTTGAACAATTTTGAAGCAGTATAATGAGGTCTTGACTTTTTCATGCGTCAATTTTTCTCGTATTTTTAATATTTACTGTAAAATACAAAATAAATTATGAAATCTTCTCTAATACCTTCTCCAATACCTAATAAAAGATAAAAGTCGCGTTTTCCATAGAAAAAATTTATTTTAACTTTATTACTTCAAAATTCAAAAAAACGTTCAAAAAACTTTATCTTTTATTTTTGAAAATATAATTTTCATTTAATAAAAAAGAGAATTACTTATCAGATTCCCAATTTTTATCGTTTATAATTATAATGTAAAATGTAGTAGCCTCATCCTTGTGCACGATTTTATATTTACCCGTATTAAATTTTAACTAACTGTCATTTAATGCTAGTAGCAATGTAAGACCTTGCAGAATAATTCAAGTAACAATTCTGATAAGAAAAAAGAACATTTTTATTCCAAAGTATTATTTTTATTTTTCCATTAGTATGTAATGAAGCAGACACACGCTTTTTATTAAATCAGAGATTATTCAATATAAAACAAATTTGAATTTACCGCATAATTATATTCGCTTGATTACTAATAAATTATCTCAGTTATCCAAATTGTTGTTATTATCATTAACAAAAAATCAATGTTCAAGTTGAAAATCTATATTGATGGCAATGCTTACCATAATTTTAGCATTCTCATTTCAGAAAATTATCAATAATTCAATTTTACATTACTTATGACAGCTCGTGCACGTAAAACAATACAAAATAAATAAGGCCAATAAACGAGCAAAAATAAGTTGAAACAATAAAAACAGTTATTCAAATAAATCAGAATAATATGTCATAGATAAACGAAATTTCAACATCGCGGCTACACTGAGTTGCCTTCAGCAAGATAAAAATTTTAATAAAGCAAAACTTATAATAAATCAATTAGACACTCTATTATTAAAGATAAGAGAAAGTTAACATAATACATATGAAACGAAACGCTACTAGCATAATACTTAAATAAAGTTCACATAAAGGATTTTGATTTTTTTTAATTTTCAATTTTTGATTATTAATTTATATGGGTCTTTGTTTTCTAATTTTTAATTTCTTACATCTTTTGATTCTTCACATAAATAACGAATATGTTTTTCTATTTTATAATATGTTCTAGTTAGTTTCATAAAAAAGAAAAAAAGGAGAAAAGGAGCAAAATTATAAAAAAGGAGAAAAATTTTTTTCAATGATATTATTTTGATTTATTTTGATTTATTTTATTAAATATATTTTTATTATTTCAACGATACTTATTTTTGCTCATGTATAGACATTATTTGTTTCTATTGTTTTATATATATATATGAGCTCATCAATATATTTTCTCTTATCTAAAACTTACTTTAGAAAGAAATCTAACAGAAAATTTGAGATAAAAAGTATGAGATAAAACTATGAGATAAAAAAATAAATTTTAGAACGTAAAAATTTTTATTTAATAGAATCCACCCTATTTCCCATCCGTATCCAATAATTGCCACTTAACGCTTAATTAATCTTAAATTTTGTATCTCTTAAAAATATTCGCATGCGAAGGTAAGGAAGGATTTCGCGCTGCTAATTAATGCAGCCTTATTGCTACTTTTATTTCAAACCGTCGTCGATACTCGTCGATACAATCATATGTGTGTGTGTGTATATAGTTAACTTTTTTTCGTGTTTTTCCTTTGTACTTTTTCAAGTTCATCTTCTATACGTAATGCGCCTATTAAAATCCCGCGCGCCGCACATATTCGCACAATCACGTCTGCTTTTCAGATACTAACGTTTCTCTGCGTGAGCACACCACTTGCTAATGTATGCATAATTGGACTTATGTACATTCGATAGAATCAAACTTATTCGCCGAATTCGCCGGACAAAAATAAGGTATTGTGACTCACTTCTCATCTATATATTTTATATCTTGGATAACTGTTAGATATCTCAAATTTTTTATTAACCAAATTTGATATATATATATGTAGGAATAACGTTTTGTTTAATTTATTTTTATTTAATTTGTCTTTATTAATGTTTTCGCACTAAAGCTAACTATTTGAAGAGCGAAACATTTGCGTTGCGGCAATGAACCTTTATAAACGTTAATAATTATTAAAATATATTTATCATATATTTTAGCTTGAATAACTCTTCATTTGTTGTTCAATTTTAATAAAATTCAGACATTTGCAGCAAATATTTTCTATTATTATTATAGTTAATTCTCCTGTTTTTATTATCTGTAAAATTAAATTTTCTATTGTTTCATCTGTGTATCTTCTTCATATTTATCTTAAAATATGTAATCATGTTGAAATAATTGAGAAATAAAGTATGCTATGTTTTTATAATTATTTTTTAATTGAAAATATTTAATGAAAATAAATTAATTATTTATATAATTACATCCTATTTGTTTTTCTAAGAAACTCGAAAAATTAAGAGCTGAAACAGCCGGACCTTGTGAGCGATTGTTTTTCTTTCAAAATTAAAAACAATAATAACAATTATAACAAACGTTTTGTTCTCAGATTGAATCCTTAGTATCATGACAATATAAAATTATCATATTATATTCTAGGTAAATGTTAAAATTTCGCAAATAAAAATAATAAATGCGTTAAAGATAAAATATTATTTTTGACGTGTTTTACATCTTATGCATTATTTCATTATTTTTTAGTTTGTTAGTTTTATTTTTGAATTTTTATATCAATTTAGGATACTAGACACTATAGCGTTGCACGCTATTTATCTTTTTAAATAAAAGGAACAAAAATTATATTATAATACGGTTACACGATTAATCGTTTGTCACAACACAATTGTTAAAACGATGTTCGCGACGACAGCCACTAATGAAATAAACGCATAATTGATTAATAAAGACACGCATATGTACATATTTATTTTAATGTCTTGTGTTTTATCATGTTTAGAAATAAAATTCTTGAATTCAACACTTCAGTGACCAATATGTCGACTCATAAACGTGTGGAAAAACGATATGATGATATAATAAAATCACAAAATGACGATCGATTATACAGGGGTTTATTACTCGCTAATAAAATGAAAGTACTTTTAATCAGCGATCCAATAACTGATAAAAGTGCTGTAGCAATGGATGTTAACGTTGGTAATTATATTATTTTGCATTTATGATATATGTAGGAATTTTCATAGGAAAACTTTAAAATTACTTTATATATGGATTATATATAGCACAATGAAAATCGTAAGACATATCGGTCTTATATATTTAAAATCCTTTAACATGATAATTTCATTTTATATAAAAAAATTTATATTTTCTATGGATTCATTATTTTATGTCTTCTATGTCTTCTATTATATTATTTATGTATTACATTAGATAGATTCTATTCGGAATTAATCAAGAATTCATACATTTTTCAATGATTTTATCAAATTATCGCTCTCAGTTATCACTGATCAATTAATTAGAAATAAAATGTGTTACAGGTACTATGTGCGATCCGGATGATCTGCCTGGATTAGCGCACTTCTGCGAACATATGTTGTTCTTGGGAACAGAGAAATATCCTCAACAGAATGATTACGCTACGTATTTGTCGCAAAACGGCGGCAGGAGCAATGCAATAACACAGTTAGATCATACCACTTACTATTTTGATGTAACACCAGAGAAATTGGAAGGTGCTTTAGATCGCTTTGCGCAGTTTTTCTTAGCACCTCTCTTCACGGAAACCTTGACCGAACTTGAGTTGAGTGCTATAAATTCAGAACATGAAAAAAATTTAGCAAATGATTTTTGGCGAATTAATCAATTAGAGAAGTCATCTGCGTGTCCCGATCATCCGTTTTCAAAATTCGGCACAGGCAATAGAGAAACATAGGACATAATACCGAAACAAAAGGGCATCAATGTTCGAGATAGACTTCTTGAATTTTATGAAAAATATTATTCTGCTAATATTATGTCACTGTGTATTCTCGGCAAAGGTACTATGATAATGTCCAAAATTTTTTCCTGAATAGAATATTTACTTATAATTTTTTAAGATTGTAAAGATTTTTAAATTTGAAGTACATATAAAATGAACAATGGTATATCTATAAGTTACACATTTTTTACTTTTCATTGTTTAATATTTATCCATTGTCAAATTAAAAAAAAAAATTTACGTCGATATGTGAAAATATGTGAAAATGTTTTTGTAAATTTTGCAAAAATTTTGCTTTTCAAAGAATCTAAAAACTTTTCATGTTTATTTGAAATAAGAAAATTACATTGGCGTGTTTTTATAAAATTTAAATATTTTAAGTCACAGAAGACAAGGAGCATCTATATTTTTAATTTTTGAGTAAACTTAATCCTGTTTTCATGAACAGATTATAA